CAAAGTATTTGCTTTGTAGAAGGCCAAAATTCTATTTCCTACAAACTTTAAATGCTGTTTTTATAGATGTGGTAAGAGGCAACACAAGCACAGATAGTTGTATAGACTTTATTTAATTTATACATATCAAGAAAAGTACAATTTCATGCTGAATGAAGCGTAGGAACTTGACAAGCCCATAGGTAGCTATCGTTCTTAGTATAGGGAATTACGTTCATATGAATTTCCTGATTCTCAGGTGACTAAAAAGCTAGCATTCTATGTATTAACCTTACAACAAACTCTGGAAGTTTGAGCTTTAAAAACCAAACTTTGACATAACCTTATTTTCTTGTATTTGCCCCCTTTTTTAAATAAAAGGTGAATAAAAAGAAATAATTTAATATCACCATTGTATGGATGCCTAATCAAGATTTCACGTTCTCAACCCCTAAGACTAGTTTTCTTTGCTCTCTGTAATTACAGCCTTTGGAAATCAAGTTGAAAGGAAGTATTTCCATTCTGTTACTGTTTTGTAGCACTTTGTCCATTTATTGATTTTTAAAGTAGATTTTTTTAGATACCACCCTTGCCCTGCCCCAAAAAGAAAAATACGTATTGCCCTGCTAATCTATACGCCTACACCTCAGAAGCTGACAAATGAGCTTCCTAAAACACGAGGGTGACTAAATGTTAGAACTGTGATATCGTCTCATTTCCACAGAGACGGGCGTTTAAAACAAATGGCTAATATTTGTAAGCCTGAAAGCTGCCATCCTCTTTAACATCCTACCTGCCTTTTAAAATGTTTTCTGGAGGTTAAATACAGTTATGTACTAGAACATTAGTTAAGCCTCCCAAAGTAGTGTGCATGGAAGATTCTAGAGTGTCCAGCTCTTGCACTACAAATGTGATAACAACAGAATAAATATGGTTATCCTGATATTGAGGGTACATGATTACCCTAATGTGATGTCATATGAGGAAGTTTAAGAGTCCATTTTTTGGGTGGTATGGTGATAGGAATAAAAATGTTACTCCCGTAGCTGATTCGGAAGAAAAGAGATGAAGTACAAGTAAGGTTTCCCCATTCCTGTGTGTGGTCATGGGAAGCCATTAGAGGGAAGCTGGAGAACAGAATGGCACAGAACAGGCTGGGCTAGACTCGAGCATGCAGTGGCCCCTGTGCACCAACCACACTGTGGGTCAGGAACATGCGTCATGGTGTGCTTGTTGGAGGAGTGTGAACATACAGCACCCTCTAGCGTTATGAATCTCTTAGGATTTTTAAGATTATATTTGATAATACTTAGATTTCACAGGGCACCGTTTTGGGACACCTCAGAGCACACTGCTGCTATTTTAGGTCTTACCACTGTAAAATACTTAATAAGTACTACTTAACTGTGACATGAAGAATTGGAATCCCAGAGGGCAACATTTGATTTGACTCAGATCAGGCAAAAGATAGAATTTTGGTCATTTTTCCTTGCAGTTTTATTGACTTAGTTTATGAGCTTGGGTAAAATAATTTTTTGATGAATCGTGTCAATAAAAGGAAAAATAATGTAACTACCTCATAAATATGATAAACGGAAGTTGCTAGTGATTTGTAAAATTCCTGAAGGTGGTTATATCAAGTATGATTTCAAAATGTCAACTAGTTCCACTTTTGTGATTGCAGGAGGCTTCTTATATTAAAGTTCTCGTAAATAATAAATCAGCTTATGCCAAAAATATATGAAGTTCCTTGGTTTTAAATTTTGAACTAAAATGGACTGAGCACATTAATTACTGTTTGAAAGTGGGTACCAAACACTGGGTTACATGAGTGAGCAAGCAGTCAGATCACCTGTCGAGCATGTCGAGTACAGGGTGTGGTACTCTCTTGGTGTTTGGAAGGCCCCTAAACAAATGTGGGCACAACAGGTGTCATTTGAGGATGCTCTGAGGATGCTCTTAACACTTTATTCTTCATGAACATAGACTGATAAGCAGCACTAACCAATTTTATATTAAAAAGCTGTTTATTTTGCTGAGTTATTCCAAGAGTTGTATACAGCTTTACTGTTTGGAACTGCAATGTTAAAGTTGCACTTTGGATTTAAGACTTACTCTCATTACTTCAGTAATACCTACAGAGGTGAGCTAACGGATGGTACATGGAGTAGGGACTGCAGAGACCCCAGTTTTGTCCCCACTCCCTCTTCAAATAATTTTGGTCTCTTAGGTCTGTGATACAAAGGCATAAAACAATTCCTATCTTGAAGCCTTGAGAAAAGCTGTTACATATACACAGATAGTAGAAAGACAGAAAAATGCAAATATGTAAATATCTTCTGATATCTTGAAATAAAGATAAATTTGAATTAAACTTGTATAAGTTCAGATTTCTGTTAATGAGAAATTACAAGCCTACAAGGTAAGGTCTTTACATTTTAGTTATTAAGCAGAATCAGTGCTTAAAACTATAGTTAATACTTAGTGGAACGAAAATTTAATCCACATATCAGGATAATATGTGTCCTGCATATTAATAGACTGTCATGCATTAATTTTTTCCTGTATGCCAGGTTTTTTACATATCTGTCATATCAGTTGACCTTTTACAGTAGGAGTATAATTTACATTGTTTTTGACAGTAGGGTTAGCATGGTTAAATGTCCTATACACTTGAAAGGAAGCTTCCATTTTTGTGGGTCTTAACCTCCACCTGGTGCTTGCTATTGGGTGTATTCAGGCATTGAGAAAAATGTAAATCGTGAGGTAAATAATGGTCATGTTTAAGCACAGGCCTCATTTAGTGAAGCATAAAAACACTGACACTTTATATAAATGCATCTGTCTAATGAAAAGATCCAGTACTGAGAAAAACATCCCTTTACTGAAGTGTCACGTCAGAGTCTGCTCTGCCAAACTGCTCAACTCATAAGTGAATACAATTAAGTAATTTCTGGTCTCCTAAAAATAATCATCCTTTTAATTAAAAGTAACTCTTCAGATAGGTTGGGCTACCAATAATTGTACCTAAACGAAACCAAATGGCGCTTCCCTGTGCTTTTGCTGTGCCGTAGATTACTATGCAGCCAGCACATGTACCTCTTAGGTCATCCTGTGAGTGACCCAGAGATGCTCTCTAGGGATGTGCCTGTTGATGTTCTTGTTAACTTCCCACTCTTCAGCTGGGTTCTTCTTCCTGTCCCCTTTTCACCAATCTCTGCTCTGCCTTGAGAGAAGCCGAGAGGAGAAGGCCTCTTCTCATTTGTTATTTTCTCCTGCTTTTAGTATCATCTCACCAGTAGCAGAAGAAAGAGGTTCTTCCCAATTTAACACAAAATAAACCAGTTACTGTTTATAGATAATGCCCGCTAATGTTTACTGACACTGAAACCCTATGATACATTCCTTTCCCTTAAATGTGCCACATTGCAGGACTGGCAAATGAAATCCATCCTACGAAAAACAGCCCAGGAACAAGTGAGGCCAAGGCCTGCTTTCTTCTCCAGCCCTTACAGTAGCCTGTGGCTCAGGCCGCATCTTTTTCCTCTAGTTCCTTTGGCACAAGTTATAATCTAATGCGACAAAGGTCTCTCATGAGATGGCTTAAAACTAGCAGTGTCACTAGGCTCTTTAGGTGTTAGAACAACCAACTCTACAAAAGCATTGGAGGCCACAGAATGGTGATACTCTTGGTTTTTGTATTTGTCCTTCACTATATAAACGTTGAAAAGGCATTAATCCTCATTAAGAAAGGATTATCGGCCGGGTCCTGTGGCTCATGCATGTAATCCCAGCACTTTGGGAGGTCAAGGTGGGCACATCACCTGAGGTCAGGAGTTTGAGACCAGCTTGGCCAACATGGTGAAACTCCGTCTCTAATAAAAATACAAAAATTAGCCAGGCGTAGTGTTTGCACCTGTAGTCCCAGCTGCTTGGGAGGCTGAGGCAGGAGAATCACTTGAACCTGGGAGGCGGAGGTTGCAGTGAGCTGAGATCGTTTCACTGTACTCCAGCCTGGGCAACACAGCAAGACTCCGTCTCAAAAAAAAAAAAAAAAAAGGACTATCATCCTTAGCAAACTAACACACGACACAGGAACAGAAATCCAAATACAGCATGTTCTCATAAGTGGGAGCTAAGTTATAAAAACTTATGAGCACAAAGAAAACAACAGACATTGGGGTCTACTTGAGGGGGGAAGGGGATAGGAGTAGGAGGAGCAGAAAAGATAAACCTTCACATGTACCCCAAACCTAAAATAAAAGTTAAAAAGGACTAAGTCACAAGTGATTTGGAATGTGAGGTTATCTCTCACCCCCATACTTTTCTCTGTACTATTTTTCCTCATTCAGTTTCTTTCTTTTTTTTCTGTATACTATGCTTTCGATTATACGTGGATTGGCATGGGCCACCAATCTGTTATTTTTAAGTTCAATTTGGTTTGTAACTTTTAAGTTCCGGGGTACATGCGCAGGAAGTGCAGGTTTGTTAGATACATAAAGGTGTGTCATGGGGGTTTGTTACACAGATTATTTCATCGCCCTAAGTATCCATTAGTTATTTTTCCTTATCTCTCCCTCCTCCCACCTTACGTCCTCTCATAGGCCCCAGTGTGTGCTGTTTCCCTCTCTGTGTCCACGTGTTCTCATTTAGCTCCCACTTACAAGTGAGAACATGCAGTATTTGGTTTTCTGTTCCTGCATTAGTTTATGAAGGTTAATGGCCTTCAGCTCCATCCATGTCCCTGCAAAGGGCATGATCTTGCTCTTTTTTTATGGCTGCACAATTCTTTTTTAAGAAAAGGATGTTTTTAGGAGGAATTGTGTACAGAGATTGTTCTCACAGATAACCACAGAGGGACCTTTCCAGCCACTGGAAAGACATTCAAGAGGAAGAGGAAATAGGTGGTACAGCAGGTCTGACTATAGGCAAAAAGTTAGGAAAGAAGAAAGGTTTAGATGCAAAGGAAGCGAGGAAATAAACTGTGGAAGGAGACATGAATGAGCAGAGTGTGTCTGATATTTCACATACTCCTGGTGCAGTCATATATTTACTATATCAGATTTCCAGAAAGGGTGGCTGTTGGTGTGTGTCTCTACTCCCAGGAGCCCCACATCTATCAGGATCTGCCACAGCTCCACTGGATGTGCCACTTTGTCCATCAAAATGCTCACCATGGATGTGATTCAGCATGAGAGAGGTGGGCAGAGTGGGGAAACGCAGTGAAATCTTCAATCTGAGCCAAAGCTATAGATGTGAAGTGCCCCGGAGAGTCGGGCTCCCAAAGAGCTCCTTCCAGCAGCAATGATGACTTGATTCTGTAGGGGACAAATGACAGACAGAATTAATGACTCATTCATAACATCTGTTGAGTTCCTACTGTAGTCCAGGCATCGTGCTATGCTCTAGAAATATAAAGATGAATAAGACACTGGCCAGATCCCCTGCCCCTGGCTTAAACTCAAATGCCACTTTCCCTTCGTTTGCAGACCACTTTCTCACATCTGTAGGTTCTGAAGCCCACAGCTAAGGACGCTCACCCCAATCCCTATTTTGGCACATAAATCATAAAGGAGAAGTATGGCAGTGCATGCTTAGTTCTGGTACAATGTGGAGAACATATCTTGAATAATAAGGAGTTCCCCCAGAAACTGGCTTTGTCAATGTATTTAGCGCACCTCTCACCTACCCTGCTGCTTAAAACATTTTAGGACCCGTCTTTCAGAATTGCCTTCAAAACCTGCTACAAGTTTTTAAAACATTTTCTTCTTTTTTGAGACAGAGTTGTGCCCTGTCACCCAGGCGGAGTGCAGTGACGCGATCTCGGCTCACTGCAACCTCTGCTTCCTAGGTTCAAGCGATTCTCGTGTCTCAGCCTCCGGAGTAGCGGGGATTACAGGCATGTGCCACCATGTCTGGATAATTTTTGTATTTTTAGTAGAGACGAGGTCTCGCCATGTTGGCCAGGCTGGTCTCGAACTCCCGACCTCAAGTGATCCACCTGCCTTGGCTTCCCAAAGTGCTGAAGTTACAGGTGTGAGCCACCATGCCTGGTCTTTAAACATTTTTGGTGGTGGCAAATCTTCATACTCCGAGGTTGGATTTGATTTGTGGAAACTGACAAAAGTTATTCTGAACCAAAGCTGGCACATGAGGTACGGGTGATCAAACTGGCTGACAGTATTTTGGTCAGAGCAGGGTATGACAGTTTCTTATTTAATTTTGAAAACTACTGATGAAATCCAGAAATAATAATCATAGCTAAAATTTGTTGAGGTGTTACCATGGGTCAAACACTATGCTTAGCCCTGTGCTTATCTTATCCCTTAATACCCCAGTGTCAATTAACAGGGAAAATCTACACTTAAGAAAACGGAATCAAATGGTAATTTATTCTCCCTCTCTTTCCCAATTTATGGAATTATACATTTACTAAATTTGCCTGGCCTTCAGCTTCTCTCTGTTTTGTCAGAGTCTAGTCATTTTTCCAGATGCAGCTCCGGGCCCATAATCTCTGCAGGCCCTTCCCTGACTCCACCAGCAGAGACTTCCGCTGCAGTTGCTGTCTGACCTCCTTTGGCTCGTGGTCATCATATACCAACCTGGATGGTCTTGTGAGCCTGTTATATTTTCCCACCTAGACTACAAGCACCTGGGGCTGGGACCATGTCTCAGGTTTATTTGTCTATCTCACAGGTGCTTGATACAACACTACTCACTACACACTCAGTTACTGCTTTGCTGAGGCTTCTGAGCTGATGGAACGCAGCCCTGTGAGAAGTTTCAGAACTGAATCCTAATTCTAGTTTGTTACGACTAATTTCATTACTGAATGCTCTTATGCCACAGAAAGGAAGGAGTCTTCAGAACATAACTTGTACCCAAATCTCAGGAAAAGGCCACTCTGCTCATCCTGATTGTCAATGCCCATTTTTGAAACACAACATCTAATTTATCTTTACGCCCAGAGTGCTCAAAAATGCCCCCAAGCTCAGGTATGTGCTGGAAAAGTGCAGTAATTTTGACACTAACCCAGGTGAACAATAATTAGGAAGGTGCATTTGCATTGTTTTACAAAAAGGAATAAAATATAAATTACTTTTAGATCATCTGTATATACTACTACTCTCAATTGATGTAAGTTATAGTTGATATATGTAGAGTTTTATGTTATAATACATAGATTCTTGATAAAGTCTAATTTTTGAAATGAATAAAACTTTAAATATAAGCCAAGCTTGTGGTATAAAGGATTCCTGTGATCAGATCTTCTGAGAATCTTCCCAAAAAGTTAATAACCATCTTTTTGTTGTGTGGTTAATCCTACATTTTTAGACCTGCCTGTAAATGGGTCACTTAAATTATTGGCCACTAGAGGGCAGTTTCACCAAAATTTTTCCTAATCCTCTTCCTCCTCCCACCTTCCACCAGGTCCACAGGAGCCTGGTCCACAGCACTTACCAAGTCTTACAGACATGGTTATATACAAATATCTATGGCTTCCACAGCCCTTCAACCCACTGTTAAAAGACTTACTCTTCATACTACTCATAAGCATTTAGTCCTATACTAATTTGCATTTATTTTGACTTTCCAGGTATATAAATCTTATTTTCAAGAACAGGGACTTTGCCTTCTCCTTGTTTTTATCTCTCATAGCCTAGCACAGTTCTATACAGTGTCATAACCTAAAATAAATGGATGAATGCAATCGGTGGTTTAGAGGTATATTTTAAGGTTAAACTTTTTCTTTTTTCTTTTTTTTTTTTTGAGACGGAGTCTCGCTCTGTCGCCCAGGCTGGAGTGCAGTGGCGCAATCTCAGCTCACTGCAAGCTCCGCCTC